ATCGGCCTTGGTCCAAGGGCGTCCTCTTCCTGAAATCGCTCTCATGAAGACGGTCGCGACGCAGACGGTGATGGCATCAACGCTGCGCGGAGCGGCCATCTGAACGGCTCTGCTCACGGCAGGTGAGCCGGATGTGGCGGGTGACGGCCCGGTTAGCCTCAGCCCTTCGCGTCATCGGCGCAGGGGAACCCGATGTAGAGCGCGTGAAGTTGGCGGCTTTCCACTGTGTATCGTCGGCGCGGGCCTGTTCCGGGCCATACCACCATGATCCACCGGCGGTGAGGGCATCGTCGCCACGCCGGTGCAATGAGGTCGCGCGGGCGAAGGTCCGGAACTCGCCGATCGTCAGTTCGGTCAGGTCGGTCAAGTCGATCCTGAGTGGCCGATGCCACCGGCTCCGGCTTCCGGGCGATAGAGGGATCGGTGACGGCGGCGAGGGCGGCGGGACGGGCCTGGGAAGGCCTTGATGCGGATGCAGCCTCTGCCGTCCGCACCCGTTGATGCCCATGTCCGAACCTCGACCCCCTCGCGACGACGAGCCCGTCCTCGATCCGCGGCGCAAGGAAGCGCCTGCCGGTGACCTCGGCGGTCCGGAGCCAATGCCGAAGGATGCGCCCGCCGTAGAGGCGCCTGCCGAGACGCCGCCGCAACCTGATCGCGACAAGCCCAAACCCGTCGAGCGCATCCAGAAGCTGCGGCTGGGCATCCGGGTCGTATGGTGGAGCGCGGTCGCTCTCACGATCGTGTTTGCCGGCGTCGCTGTCTGGATGGGTATCGGGCGCGGCGATCCCTTTGCCTTGTTCTTCGCCTTGCTGGCGGGATGCTGCGCATTGGCAGGTTTTGGAGCCCTCTCTGCCGTGCGCCGACCGTCTTCGACCTGACGGCGAGGGCGTTGGATAGCCATCCACGCAACAATTCTACGGCTGATCTGTTGAGTCCGTTCGCCGGCGGAGTGAACCGCACGCGGCGGTGGAGGAATGTCATGGCGCTCCCGAAGAAACCCGATCCCAACGAGGCTTCGGCCAGTTACAGCGGAACCGAGCAGGCCAAGGACGGCCGGCGCGAGGAGAAGCAGAAGAAAGGCGTCTACGGCGCCGCTGCGGAAGACGGTCCCGGCTACCATCGCGAGGATGAAGAGAAGGGCGGGCGCTACGGCGTGGAACGCACGGTCGAGCGGGACGGGAAAGACGAGGGTAGCTCCGAGGCGGGGGCGGCGGCCGTCCCGCACGGCAAGGGCCGCCAGGCGTAGCGCTGAACGGAATCGGACCTCGCGCCGTTTTCCGCTATGAAGGCGGCATGGGCCAACCGATTTCCGAAATCAAGAAGGCGCTGTTCCTGCAACGCGCCGAAGCGCGGCTGAACTTCGCGCGCAATCTCCCGGTCGAGGATGCGACCCGGGACTCCAAGATCAAGGCGGCGGAGAAGGCCGTGCAGACCGCGCTCGCCTCGAAGACCGGTCCCGCGCGCAAGTCGAGCCCAGCCCGCAAGGCCAGGAAGAAGCCCGCTCGCTGAGGCGGGGGCTGCAGGCGGTCCGACCTGGCTCGTTCCCGATCGTCTCACATCGGCCCTGCGCCTTACATGCAAGGCGCAAGGCCCATTCGATCACGGGAGCAGCTCCCGTCGCGTCCTATCAGGTCTTGTTGAGCTTCAGCTTGCGCTTCTCGATTTCGGGCTGCAGCTTCATCATCACCTCCATCGCCATCTTCTGAGCGAAGGTCTGGGCCATGGTCAT